TCCTTCAGCTAACGTGGTGTAAATCATGACTGTGAATATATATTTTGGGGATTAACACAGATGAGATATGTACAGCAATAAGTTGGTCATGTCCTCTGTCCTCGGTCTACGTTAATGCTTTGAGAATTACAAAACAACTGTTGTAGTATTAATAGCAGCCAGCAACACTGAGGCCCCCGTGGGACTACTGGAGTGCTGTGGACCTGCCATTAAGCAGATTAAATACGATAATAAAAATGATAGTAGGTTTATTGTCAAAGCATACTTGTCTCCTCTCACGGCTGTTATCCAGCTCACAGCTTTACAGTAAATTCATTTCTTATTTACACTCAAATTTCAATTGAAATTTAGCTGAAAACGCTGTAATTGTTGCTACAGCGTTTTTTAAATGGATTGTTTAAAAAGGAAGCTCTGATCACACCTACAGGAGCTGCTCACACACAGAAACCCGGGTCATGAAGCCCCCAGTGCACATTTTCTGTGCTGACACTCACAGAATCAGAACAGAGAGCCGGTCTGGAGTTTCAGTACTGGGGTAACTGGGATCTAACAGCTGTATTAGCCTGTCATGGCCTTAATAACTCTATTTAGACCAAACTTGGATTTGAGCCACAGTAAAAACACAAAATACTTTAACCATAATGATAAGCTGAGCATAGTTTTAGTACACTATTTCACACTTTAGCCGTCCCACACTGCAAACCAGCTCCTCCTCTAATGGAGTGTTTGACAGAGACACTGCTGCCTGCTCTGTTCTCGCGCTCTCTTAGGCTTTCCACAAGTGTACGTGAAACAATGAGGAGTTCCCCAGAGCCATCCTACTGAATACAGTCTTCTTTTAGAAATACTTTTCCTGTCTTGGCCCTTCAAATTGAAGTCATGTGCCAGCACACATTAACAAGTTAAATGACTTATTTCCAGTTTTTCTGAAGCTTTATTTATTTATTTATTTAAAAAAAAAAATTTGGGGGGGGAAATAGTACTCAGGTCCCCTGATACAGAACGCTCACATGCTGTTTTGTGCAACTCCTCGTTTCTCTGAATTTTCAGTGATGGGGGTGTAGAGTGCAAAGACCCACAGGAACACAATAATTGCTACATTAATGGGAAAAATAGCAAGTTGAAATGAACCTGAAATTGCCTTTAATCCTTCCTGGCTGTGCATGTCTCAGTCCACCTTTCAAACTGAAGGATGTTTGGCGCTAACATTAGTCTGCTGCTACCAAAAAGAAGAACAACTTAAGAGTCCTAATGGAAGGAGTTCTGACAAGCAAATGCTGTAAAGATGCTGGAGAGCACTTTAGTAAATGGCATTCATTGTGCCTAGACTCGAGATAGAAACATATAGAGAGTCTTATGTCAGAATATAGCTCAGAAAAACTTGCTGAGTAATGCTACTTAGAGCTAAGAAGTCTGCCTGTTTTGACAGAGTTTCTTTCAGCCTTTGTTAGTGAGCTGCTAAGAAAGTGTTACGAAG